CAACAACTAAAAATATATTTTTAAAAAATTTAAAAAAATGAAAGCCCAGGATCAGATGGCTTTATTGATGAATTTTACCAAACTTTTAAAGAAAAACTAAAATGAATTCTTTTCAAACTATTACAAAGTACTAAAAGAGAAATAACTTCGTTATTCTATGTCAGCATCACTGATACCAAAACCAAATAAGGCACAACAAAAAATAAAGCTAGAGACCAAAAATCCCTGATGCACACAGACACTAAAATTCTCAACAAGATAGTAGTAGATATAATCCAACTAACTGTACCTAAAACTATTATACACTATGATCAATTGGGATGTATCTCAGGGGTGCAAGGACAGCTCAACATACACAAAATACTACACATAATGACATCACATTAACAGAATGAAGGATAAAAACCATGTGACACACATGACCACATGAAGGATAAAGACCATCTGAACAGATGCAGAAAAAGCACTCTCCATAATAAACCCTAAAAAATTACTTATAGAAGAAATGTACCACCACGATCCACAACATAGTGTTTCTACTGGAGGAGCCAATAACAATGCCTCTATCAGATGTGTAAAGTATAAGATACTGTGCTATGTTACAGATTTATCTTGGCCTCAAGGAAAAGACACTAGGGCTATAGATACGGGTGTTTGACTGGGCTCCTTAGATTCATAGAACTAATTTTTTTTCTTGTTGTGCTACTCATATATTACAGGAAAGGGGGCTGGATATGTGGCTCAAGCAGTAGCGCGCTTGCCTGGCATGCATGCGGCCCGGGTTCGATCCTCAGCACCACATACAAAGATGTTGTGTCCGCCAAAAACTAAAAAATAAATATTGAAAATTCTCTCTCTCTCTCTCTCTAAAATATATATATATTTTACAGGAAAGGCCTATTGATGGTCTACAACTTGCTATTCTTTTTGGAAGCTGATCCCTGGTCTTTCATATTCTGAATCACTACTCCTCCATACACTAAAGAGCATGTACTATTCATCAGATAGGACAGAGGAGTGCCTTTAGCTCAGAAACAGAGGGAACTTTAGGGCAAGAATCAAAATCCATTAATTTAAGCCAGGGTTGGTGGTGCTCGCCTGTAATCCCAGTGACTCAGGAGGATGAGGCAGGAGGATCATAGAGTTCAAAGCTAGCTACAGCAACATATCAAGGCCCTAAGCAACTTAGACACTCTCTTGAAATAAAAAATAAAATGGCTGGGGATGTGGCTCAGTGGTTGAGTGCTTCTGAGTTCAATCCCTGGTACCTCCCCTGCCCCCCAAAAAATCCATCAATTTAAATGAGGAAAATGTCCTTCCAGAGAAGTTTTTAATAAATATTTTTAGTTGAGGATGGACACAATACCTTTATTTTATTTATTTTTATGCAGTGCTGAGGATCAAACTCAGTGCCTCACACGTGAAAGGCAAGCACTCTGCTACTGAGCTATGACCCAGCCCCACAGAAGAGATTTTTAGAACAAAGCAATATGTCAAAGATCTTGCCCACAATCTTTCTGGAAGCAAAAAAAGGCTTGAGGATCTGAAATGAGCTGTGTGGTAGAGTAGGAAATGGTGTAAGTAGCATTGGGCAGCAGATGCCTGTGATCCATAGATCCACAAAACTGCTTTATAACCTTTAGTTTCAGTGGCTCCAAAGAATAACAGGGAATGTGGGAGAAATCTGTTCCATGGAGGAGTGGGACTGTAGGGAAAAAGTTACCACTTTCTTCTTTTCTTGGAGCCCTATCCTAGGACATAGCTGGACCTTTGAAAGCTTCCTCTCCTTGGTATATTTCTCTATGAAGACAGCAAAAGCTCAGGTAAGTATTAAAATTTTGAAGGATGATGCAAAGTAAGAACATACGGGGGGGGGGGGCAAGAATTGTAGAAGGCAAATGTTGTCATGTAACACTCACGGGTGGGGAACAGCTATCCTAGCTGGCAGCAAGCTGGGAGCTTTGACCAAATAACTGTGTTACTGACAAAGATTGAGCCCAGGAAAGGAAAAAGGTAGAGAGGTCCAGGATCATTGGCTATTTCACTTGGGCCATGAAAATGACATTAACAGTAACTTTGCCTCCCTCCTGACACATTCTATGAAATCACAGGTAGGGTTTGGAATGATTTCTTTTATCTAGGAATTCTTCTATGGGATATTTGAGAATGGGCCCTCCCTAGGTTAAGTTGCAGCATGTTATCTTGCTGTTAATAGTGATTCTTTTTCAAGGGACATAAGTGGAATCTCTTTATTATCAAATACCTATCCCCAGGAATCAGAAGATGTCACAAGACTAGAAGAAAAAGTAGAAAACGTGGCCTAGGCCCTGTTGAGATGAGAAAAATGGAAGATCATTAACTTTAAGCAAAAGAAAAAACTGTCAATAACTTCCCTGTTATACATTCACATCAAAGTGGGAACCTGAGCTTGGAAATGCCTTTTATACAAAATGACTGCAACTATGATGGGTATTTAGAGTTACAGAGATTTTCTTCTAATTAACAGCACTTTCTCATGGATAAAGGGTAGATAGATAAAAAAAATTTGAGGTATGTGGTTTACATATGATTTATGGCCTACCTATAAAATAGGGTGAATCCTATGCAGTCAGTGGAGATGAATAAGAGGGGCTTCTAACCACTTCACAATTTCAGAGCAGAATAGAATCCAGTCCCCATGTCATCTATGTATGCTCACTTCTCAAATATACAGAACTGTATACCGTGATTGACAATAAGAAGTTCTTAATATGAAATAATGTGAATAAGCAATATTTGGCAATAGATGTATACACCTTGGTCAAGTTTTAGATGAAGGAGCCAAGTGTACAAAATGCATTTCTGTGTTAAAGATATGGACAGAGAGAAACCTAGTGCCAAATGTGCCTGAAAATGCCAAAAACATTTCAATATATCTTTTGGGAAATGTAAAACATGTTGTTGTTCATATGACTATTGACCAAAAGCTTAGAAGTAGCTGGGCCATGCATTTCTCAATGGTATCTATACTGCTAAGAATGCAACAAGCATTGAACCTTCCTCTCATGAAGAAATAATCCATTTTTCAGCTCTCCTGGTCATGAGCTTAGCCATAGCTTGGAAATAAAGCATAATGGTGTGGCTTACAAGTTCCAGGACCAGAACCTCTGTACTAAACAATGAATTTATTACTGTAAATATAGATTTTGATCAGATGTTGTATGAGCACAATGATGACTGCTTATTTAATAAACCTGACCTCCAAAGCTCCTTTGGAAAGCTATATTGTGAGAAAAGGACTTCCCTGTGGATGAGTGACCTCCCAGAATACTATAATGGCACCTCCATGTGATGCCAGACAGACACTCACAAGCAGGACAGTACCCATTGCAAAAAATAAGGTTATTGTTAGCAGGGCCAGTGCAGAAACCTGGAGAATCAGTGATATAAAATCTTTAGAAAGAGTATAAGAGTTGCCTGGAAAAGTAATCATTACCTAGGGAATACGTTTAGAAACCATGGCAGTGACTCCAAAATAATGGTTAAGGTCTGTGCAAAAGGATCTAAGGCTCTGCACATTGAAAAACATCAAGCACGCATGTAGCCCATGCAAGAAATGAAGTGTTGGCGTATAGATGTTTTTGAAGCCACAGAAAGGGCTGACGAGAGGGAAAGTGAAGGGTAGCATTCTATGAGAGCCACAGAAGATTTGTATAATCAAACCTATTTAGACACCACTCTATTCCACTATGACCACAAACTGAACAAGTGTCATAGGAGGGATGTTCATGATAATTTTAAGAACTGCCTCTATGTATGGCTATTGTCCCTTGTAGGGTTAGTGGGACAGTTTGAACAGTGGCTCAGCTGCACATGTCCCCTCTGAATTTCAGTATGACCAAAAAAAAAAAAAACCTGTTAATTCTTTTATAATTGATTTATTTTTAATTGGTGCATTACAGTTATGCATAAAAATGGAATTCGTTATTATATGTTCATACATACATGATACATGGCAGTTTGGTTAATTTCATTCTGCTGTTCTTCCCCTTTCCCATTCCTCCTTCCCCTCATAGCCCTTCCTCTACTGTACTGTTCTCCCTTCTATTTTTATGAGACTGTTTCCCAACACCCCTACCAATTTTTAATACCTTATTTTTCTCTAACTTCCATATATAAGAGAAACACTCAACCCTTGACTTTCGGAAACTGGCTTGTTTCACTCAGCATGATGTTCTTCAATTCTACCCGTTTGCCAGCAAATGACATAATTTCATTCTTCTTTATGGCTAAATAAAACTCCATTGTGTATATATATCACATTTTCATTATCCAATCATCTATTAAGGGACACCTGAGCTGGTTCCATAAATTGGCTATTATGAACTGTGCTGCTATAAATATTCATATGCATGTATCGCTATAGTATGCTACTTTTAGGTCTTTTGGATAAATACCAAGGAGTGGGATAGCTGGGTTATCTTATGGGTCCTTTCCTAGTATTTTCAGGAATCTCCATATTGCTTTCCAAAATGGTTGTACTAATTTTCAGTCCCATCAACAATGCATAAGTATACCTTTTCCTTCACATCCTCACCAGCATTTATTATTCTTTGTATTTTTGATGACTGCTATTCTAATTGGAATGAGATAAAATCTCAGGGTAGTTTTGATTTGTATTTCCCAGATTGCTAAGGATGTTGAACATTTTTACATGTATTTTGTTGGCCATTTGCCAAAAAATTTGAGAAATGTCTGTTTAGCTCATTTGCCCATTAATTGATTGGGTCATTTGTTTTTTTGGTATTAAGTTTCTTGAGTACTATATATATTCTGGATATTAATCTCCAGTCAGAAGAGTAGCTAGCAAAGATTCTCCTATTTAGTAGGCTCTCTCTTCATGCTCCTATTTCCTTTGCTGTGCAGAAGCTTTATTTGAAGCCATCCCACTTATTTTTGATTTTATTTCTTTAGTTTTAGGGGGTCTTGTTAAGGAAGCTGGTGTAGGATATGGTTACCTGACATTCTTCACAATCCATTAATGTAAAATAATTCCAGTTCCTGAGTATCCTAGTAATTGTAATTTCAAAGAATGGTGGAGGAGCTAGTAGCAAAAGTAACAGTAGACCCTAATGGATCCTGGCCCCTGTTATAGACTCTCTTCTGTGAGCATAATAATGGCGTCTGGGTATCCACATCACATTGAGCCTCTTGCTTTAGTTGGTGGAACTTGTGCTGTGTCCATCCATATACTCCAAAGTAGAGCAGACCCTGGGATGCTGCTGTTAGAGCCTAAAGGAGAGACAGGGGTGATGGAATCTGCTCTTCAGGTTTGTAGAGATCCAGGAAAAAGCCCACAACCCTTGTTTACAAAGCATGGTTACATTTCCTCTATCTCAAACATCAAGATCTGGTATCTATTTTTTCTATTTTTCTAGCTCTTTCTGAACTGATTCTTTACATCTTAACATAATTGACTAAAAGTTGGTCATATTTCTTAGTATATACATAAGGACAATGAAGTGGCTTCAATGCCCCTCCTTACTGATCCATTTTTTGGAGAAAACTGCCTTATCAGTATAATTAGATAGTTCAAAAAAAGTCTTTCTTCAATCTGATAAATGAGGAGAACCATTCTATTACCTCCCTACCCACCACATTCACTAAGAAAGGTTAATTAATCTCATTCAATTCAATTTGGATTAGAGAGAATCATGACTATCAGCGTTAAGAATGTGCCCTAGTAGACCACTATTTTTTTTGTCTACTCACTTCTTAAAAACACATCAATAAAATGAAATTGACCAGAGATACATATGCTGTGGAGTGCATACCAGCACTTTTACCAAAGCATCTACCCTCCTCTGTGGAAATTTTCACATTCTTCATAAATGAGTATAAATAATACATGTTCTCTTTTCCTTCACAGAGGGAAATTGTGCTTACTGAGTAATGTCAGTGTAAGAGAGTAGAATAAGAGGGTGTAGGAATAGAAATTCTGGATTTTGAAGGTGTTACCTGGAGAACATACAGGGCCATGTGTAGCTCGGTGTCCTGGGGCTTAGTCAGCTTTGTGATTATCAGCACGACAGCTATGAATACAGAACACATAAATTCTGTCATTAGACCTCACTGCCTGAAGCACAGAGTTCCTCAGTATACATGTCTGAGCATTATTAGAATGGAAGATATGGGCTTATTGAAGATCAATACTTTTAACCAGTTATGCAAACCAAAGGCCTCTGACTTCTAGTCTTTATTAATTAAACTTTGCAGATGATTTGTGTGACAATAGTGGAGAGGTACTACAGGAAGAAAATAATTTTTTTCTGTACTGGAGATTGAATTCAGGAGCATTTTACCACTGAGCTATGCCCTAGCCATTATTTCATTTCATTTCATTTCACTAGTACCAGAGGTACCCAGTCCTTTTTTATTATTTGTTTTGAGACAGGATTTCACTACTGAGGGTCTTGCTAAGTTATTGAGGCTGGCCTGGAACTCATGATCCTCCTGCCTCATTCTCCCAAACCCCTGGGATTAGAGGTATATGCCACCATGCCCAGTCTTTTATTTTGAGACAGGGTCTTGCCTAATTGCCAAAATGACCTTGAACTTGGATCCTCCTGCCTCAGCCTCTCAAAGAGCTGGAATTACAAGTGTCTGCCATCGTGCCCAGAAAAAGATAATAAATTATACTACTTAGAGTATCAGAATTTACCAAGGCCTTTCATAAACATTATCCAATGTGATCCTCACTATCAACTTAAAGCAAATGTTAATAGATGAATCCTGTCATATCAGGTAATTTGCCCTCTCACATCGGCTTGCACCTCATGCCTAATTACCTTAATTTTTAATATATAAAAAGGAAAAAAGTTGGGGGGGGTCAGGGAAAACTGGAAATATGGGTAAAGCCAACATAAATCTTATAAGCTGGACAGGAATCTACAGTCAGTCATCTGCCTTGGTGAGATCACTCTGCTTGATCCCAATATATTGTTGAATCCAATATTGTTACCCTCTTCACTCTCCATCTCTTCCTGTTAAGATACCCACCTGGGCCCCAGCAGCATAAGAAGGCCGCTGGGTAGAAGCGCACTCGCTGTTCCACAATGTGAATCACTATTCGCTGTTTGTTCCCCAGAAAGCCAGGTGATTTCACAAACTTCTTACACAAGTTTTGGGCTTGGATGAATAAGACCTAAACATGAGTGTAGCAGTGAGCAGTTTACCCTAAAGCTTAGTAAAAGTTCCTATCATTTTAGAAGGATCCTTTCTCTAAGTATCTTGCAACAGGTTTTACCTGCTGAGACCAGGCTTTTTCTGAGAGAAAATTACCTGGAAAATTATTCAGTCTTCCCACCAAGATAAATCATAATATACTCAAGAAGTTTAAAGCAAGCCCTAAGCCAGATGCTGTGGCAAATGTCTATAATCTCAGTAGCTTGGGAGGCTGAGACAGGAGGACCACAAGTTTAAAGCCAGAAAAGTGAGGTGCTAGGCAACTCAGTGAGACTGTCTCTAAATAAAATACAAAATAGGGCTGGGGTTGTGGCTCAGTGGTTGAATGCCCCTGAGTTCAATTCTAGTACCAAAAACGAGAATAAACAAACAAAAAACCTTCCCAAACTTGAATCTTTGCCTTAACAACCCAAATCAATTCTCTAATAACTCAATTTCTTAATCAAATGCAGCCAGAGTCTTCTTTCCCTACAAACAGAAGAATCAAAAGGAGGCCTGAACTTAAATGAGAATATTTATGTCTAATTATCTGTTCATTTAAAAATAATCTAGAATGCTAATTCTGAATGTCCACTGAAGCCTGAGCTACTCTAACCAGCAAAAAAGAATTTTCAGAATTCCAAGCCTTTGGGGCGGGGAACCCATCTTTATTGTCAATCCATTCCAAATGTAAGCCATCTAATCCATTTTAATATAAACTAATTGACCTTTACAAATTTACTGATCTGGGCTGAGCTATCTCCATAACTAATTTTTAAAGGTCAAAGGAAATTCCCCATAATTATATCTGCCTCACAGGTGACAGTAAAACAAAACACTGTAGGAAAACTTGGTTTGTAGGTAGATAGTTTGTAATTCCTCAACTAGAATATGAGGAGAAAATGATACTGAAAACTATGCAGATCTGACAAGTAAAAAGGCACATTACCTTACTGCTTCTGTACTAAGCAGTTATGCATACATAACTTACTATCACTTGGCTGATCATTTTAATTCTACATCATTCTGGTGATATCAAATAAGTACATGATAACTGCATAAACCACTTAGCATTTAAACCCCAGTTAGACATATAAGTGTGAACTTATGGTGGCTAAAAAAAAAATAAGAACACTCTTTCATTATTTGGAAAATTATATCAAAGCAATGTTCTATGTCCTAGAATGTCATTCTGGTATAAAGGATACACTTGAATCATGAGTTTTCTGGTCGTTCCTCCATGGGGATCAACAAAACATATATTAGTTCTAGAGTAAACATAATTTTCATGAAGTAAATTCTTTTACTTTTTGTTTTGAGACTGGGTCTCACTAAATTGTTGAGGCTGGCCTAGAACTCATAATCCTCTTGCCTCTGCTCCCAAACAAGCTCTTTTTCCACACTCATCATCTGATTTTAGGACACCCAAAAAACTGAGGTGGTGTAATTACATTGTTAAGATCTCTTGAACATTTTGTTGGTACTAGGACCATAGGAAGTAACTCTCTGGCCTATCTTCCCCAGGCCCTAGGAATACTGGCCTGTCCCCTCTAGTCCCCCCTTTTCACAAGGGAGAGTAGTACCATACCATAATAGTTAGGAAGCTGAGCAAAAAGCTAGCCAAGAAAATGGTGATACTATAAAAATAAAGTATGTTACAGACAGATGTATTGGCAGAAGGCAGGAGTTCAGCCATGACTGATGGTGGTGGGAACATCAGGATACACCTAGGGAATAAAAATCAATGGACAGGAGTACTACTATAGATGTCAGACATGAGATATTCACTCAGTGCAACAAAAGTTAATGAATATGTAACTGCACTTATCATTGTGCTCTTTTTAAAAAAATATTTATTTTTCAATTGTAGTTGGACACATACTTTATTTATTTATTTATTTTTTATGTGGTGCTGAGGATCAAACCCAGGGCCTCCCAAGTGCTAGGTGAGTGCTCTACTGTTGAGCCACAACCTCAGCTCCCTTATCATTGTGCTCCTATCCATAAGATTTTATTCCTTCCCACAGACACATTATCTTGTATTCACTTTGGGTTATACTTTTACTTGTGTATTTTTAGTCTTGACTATACCTTGTTTCACAGTCCTTTTCCAATAGCCCTTTTCCACATTGGACAGAAGGTATGTAAAAAGTCTTTTCTCTAGGTTTATTATAAAAAAGAACAGATGTAATCCACAATGAAAATGATAGATTTGGTCACTTCTTACCTGTTGTTCTGACTGAAGTTGTGGAAACATTCACTGGTATTGCCCAGACAGAACACAGGTGTCATCAATAGTAGAGGTATCAGGCTGGGAGGAAAAAAGTTATCATCCCAATATCCAGCAGTTTCATGTCTTTCCTCTTTTTGAGAATATCCTCCCACCCCCAACTGTATCACCCCACTGATATCCACAAATATATACACACTTAATTTTTCAAGAAAATACCTTGAATACCTTAAGTATCCTTACTTTTCAGTTCCTGGGAAAGTACACCAGGAAAAGGATTTCATACTTAGGTTAATGAACCCTAACAGAGTATCCAGAGAATCTCTGGTATTATATGGTCAGATAAAATTCTAAGTGGGTCAAAAATGAAAGGAAAATCTACCAAGGAGCTTTGTGTGCAGCCTGTTTCACTTTTCATGGTGGCCAGGAATAACTTCATTCTCATTAGCCCCTTCCTGAGTGCTTTCCCAAAGTATACCATTAAATAGGCAGCTATTTATCCAGCCAAATATAGCAGACTCCCTGTAAGAGATAAAGATTTAGGAGCAAATGTTACAAAGGCTAAAATCAACTCTGATGTGACTGCCACTTTAGGTGAGATCCAGACCCTTTCTGGACTTTATAATTCTAGTAGTCTCACCCAATGTTTTTAAAGTGGATAAGATCTTGAAGACCTTCTTAAACAACTTATAAGAAAAGGAATGTGGAGATCCAAAACTCAAAGAAATTTGTACAAGATCACATTGAATTGATGGTAGAACTGGGGCTAAAACCCAACTCTGTAATAGAAAACTGATTTTCCAGTCTATGTGGGAAAACAGAACCAATGATCACATATTTATTGCTTCCTACTCAGTAAGAGTCTGTGATGACTTAGGAGTGACAATGGAAATACAGGACACCAACTATTTCTTCGTACTTGGGCACTTGAATAATGAGAATACATTCCTTAATAAGAGGGAAAGAAAAAATCTTACCTTGAAAAAATGAAGGTGATTTGACCAACTCGGCAAGTAGAATCTGTCACCTGTGAAAAGAACACATGTAAAATTGTCTTATGACATTGCAAATCACATTACAATAAATACCAGATCATCATATACCACTCAATAGAATAAAAAGGATTCTAAGAGCCAATTTACTCTGTCAAGCAACATTTGCTATAGAATTCATGAAACAGATAATTCCTTAGCATTGTAAATGATAGAATTTCATCTGTATTAGTATATTTAAAAAAATATAACAACAAGCTGGGCACAGTGGTGCACACCTATAGTCCCAGTGCCTTGGAAGGCTGAGGCAGGAGGATCACAAGTTCAAAGCCGGCTTTAGCAACTTAGCGAGACCCTGTCTCAAAATAAACAATGGGCTGTGGATGTGGCTCAGTGGTTGTAAGCCCGTGGGTTCAATCCCTAGTACCAAAAAAAAAAAAAAAAAAAAAAAGTCAAAAGAAAGGCTGCAGGAAGTAGCTTACGATTTGAGTACTCAGACAAATTTTCTTAGGAAGACAAATATGAGATCACACAGTAACCCTCCATCATTTAATAATAGTTCCATCTTTTTCTATTTTAGACTCAGAAATGTGTGGGTGTTTTCAGAGCATTATGGGGTCAATGAAGCTCTATGTATAAGATGACCAGCAGCAAGTGTTAATATAATAGTGCAGAATCGTTAAGCTCTTTGGATATGAGACTTAGATTCTAAAAGACAGAACACTTAAAAACTCTACTTGTGCTGTGCATGTAACACAGTGGTAGTGTCTATGCTTAGCATACACAAGGCCAGCATTACAAAACAAACAAAAACTCAGATACTGTAAAACATCTAAAAGATGAATCCATCTAAAAGAAGAATCATTTCTACCTAATAGGACTTTAGGATGAAAGATTTTGAACACAACACCTTAAATAGGTAACAAAATAGAAAGCCTTTTTCTTTCTATTTTAAAGTATAAACATATCCTATTGTGGAATAGTCATTAACAATAAATAAGCATTAAGTGAGCAATTAATCATAATTAGAGAATGGTCACTGATCGTCCTTGAGAAGTTTGGATCAGGAATAGCAACGATTTTAAGTAGGACAGTTATTGTTGACTTGAGGGAAATATGTAAAATTAGTTTGTAGTGACTTCTACCAGCTTCCCTTCTCCTCTTTTTACTTTGTCAGGTGTTGAGAGCCACAGTGGAAGGGGTCCCAGCAAACTTCCAGCTGCCAGCTGATGATTGGCTCACAGAGGCCCAGCAAACTTCTAGCTGCCAACTGATTGGCTCCTCTGCGGTGATGCTCATTGGGCTGTTTCCCCGCCCTTTCAGACTGCTGAGCTGCTCACTGGGGGACTTTTTTTTGGCTCTGCCCACGTGACCCACCCAATCAGCCTCAAGAGCAGGAGGAGTGGGGGAGGTTGAGAGGCTTGTGGGAAGCCAGTGGTGGCAGTTGGGCTCTGAAGGCTTTTCCTGAGGAGCTGTGTGGTTTGGTGTGTGTGTTCTAAAAGTAAAGTTCATTTCTTTTGACAAGTGGCTCCTGAATTGTGCCCAGCCACACTGCGGCAGTCAGGTGGCTACATGCTCTTTAATTATTACTCTTACCTGGTAATGAATATCTGATAAAAAGCTTACTGCTAGTAGTTTATGGCAGAAATCTTGCTAGGGTATTTTAAAAAAGAATTAAAAGGTTAAAAAAAAAGATCTTGGCAGTTCTTAGTATACAGCTATAATGGCAGAATAATAAGCACTGGGGTTAGTACTTTAGAGTTTGACTCCTTGAAACTAATGACATTGCTTGGGTTATAAAGAGTTGTATGTGCCTCTGTGTGCATAGAAAGCAGAACATCCTATATGAGAGCTAATCTTACATCTCTCCAATTTTTCCTTCAAAAATTAATTTCTTCCTCTCAGAAACATTCCCCCATGTTGTCTCCATCCTTGGCTTCTGGTCTCAGAGCATCTTCTTCAGGAAATTACTTTGTGGCTAAATAACTGCTCACAAATTCCAATCAGTCCCTTGGCTTTTGAGTGAATTAGTAAATTAATGAATGAAAATAAAAATGTAAAATATTAATCCTGTAAGGCTGTTGAACTTTGTATGCATTCACCTACCTGAAGAGAAGAAAATGAATTGTTTCTTTGTAGTATCTTTTAGTTCTAGAATTCTAGAATTATGCAGACAGATATGTAAAAGGATAAATAGCCATGGGTCCTTATTAACTTGTAAGGAGCAAGGAAACCATATAAATTGAAGATACAGAAGAGTAATTATAAGTGTTGAATGTCCAGAGGTAAACATAAGAAAAAGGTCCCAGAATATTGTCCTGGGCTGAATAGCAGCAACTAGATGCATGTAGCTAGTTAAAATAAAATGAAGATTATATAAAATTTAAAATCAGTTCCTCACTCTCACTAATCACATTTCAAGTGCTCAGTGGCCACATACGGCTAGTAATGACTGAACTGGACAGTGTATAAAATATTTTGATTATTACAAAAAGTTTTATTGAATAGCTCTTTTATTTACTGTAGTATCTTGTTCAGGATGCTGTTTAAGGGACCTCTTTATGTTAATTTTTCAATGATTTCCTTGTATCCTTTCGCTTTATAGCAACAAGAATGGAGAGAGGGGGAATGAGGGAGGAAGAAAGAGAGGAAGAGAGGGAGGGGTTTTAAAAACATTCTCTACCCTGTCCTTCTTCAACTGTGAGTATCTTGAACAAGGCTAGAAAAAAGAAAGATAAATATCTCTTCTTAAGAAGTGAATCAGCTCTCTTTCTGCTTCCAATTTGCCATGTCCTGAGTTGCTTCCCTCTGCCATGGCCTTCAGACATGATGTTCTACCTCACTTTGGGCCCCAGAGCTATGGAGTAGGAGGACCATGGACTGAATTGCTGAAACTGCTGTGGTCAAGAAAAATTGGAAAGTCACTGCTACAGGTTACCAGAACCTCACCTCACAAAAATGTTCCTGAGTGCTAGAACAAGGTAATATCTTTCTCATGATGCAAAATAATTCTTTGGAAATTGAATTATTTATCTATTTGGAAAAAATGTAGTTAATAAAAAAAAGAGTTTCTTCTTAAAAATAAATTTCTTGAAGTCAGATGAAGATTTCATAGAACCTTAGCACTGCTTCATTTTATGATGAAAAATTGAGGCTCAATAAAAGCAGATGATTAGCTTAAGGTCATATAGAAGGTAAGCGGCTAGAGCACGACCTAAAAGATAAATCTCCTAATTTACCTCAAATACCCTTTCCTAAGATTCTATATGCAAACAAATATGTATATGCATATATAGCCAGGGTTCTTTCCCATTTATTATTTAAAAAAATATTTATTGAATTTCATCATGTACCTAACAGGATATCACTTTCATTTGTTCTAGAAGTGACTGTAGGCTCTGGGAAAAGATGTTAGAAGGCTTTCCAGATACTTTTACTCTATCGTGCTCTTTTTTTTTTAAAAAATTGTTTTTTAGTTGTTCATGGACCTTTATTTATTTTTATGTGGTGCTGACAATTGAACCCAATGCCTCACACATGCAAGGCAAGCACTCTACCACCCCAGCTTTCTATCATGTTCTTAATGAAAATTTCCCTTCAAAAAAAAAAAAGTAGCAGAACAAATACCACAGATATAAGATTAAAATATTTAATAAGATACATATAGTAAGATTAAAATACATAAGACTTTAAAAGAAATAAAAATTGAGCCACACGTAGTGACATATGTCTGTAATCGTATGGGCACAGGAAACTGAGACAGGAGGATCGCAAGTTCAAGGCCAGCCTCAGCAACTTGGCAGGGCCCTGAGCAACTTAGTGAGACACTATCTCAAAATAAAGAGGGACAGGGGTGCTGAGGATGGCTCAGTGGTAAATTGCCCCGGTTTAAATCCCTAGTACCCCTGCCCCCAAGAAGAAATGATAACATCATAAAAATGTCATCTGCAGGATCGCTTAGTGATACTGAAAGAATCAGAAATAAAAAACTCAATTTTTACTATACAAGGAAATATCATTAAGCAATAAAAAGGAATGAATTATTTATAAATGCACTATGTTAAGTGAAAGAAACCACAGAAACACAAGAGACCACATACGGTATTATTGAATTTATATGAAAGGTCCAGAAAAGGCAGGTCTAGAGAAACAGAAAGTAGATTAGTGATTATCTAGAGCAGAGAGTGACAAAGGGATTCATGGTTAAGGGCATGAAAGATTTAATTGGGATAAAGAAAATATTCTGAAATTGATTTAAAACATCACTTAATTGTATATTTAAAATCAATGAATTATGCGATATGTAAAATATGCACACACAGGAAGAGAATCCAGATGTACTGACTCAGCATTCTCTTCTCATCACTGTAATGCTGGAGAGTGCCCCAAACTCTGTGAATTAAAGAAGGAAAGACGACTGTTTTCTGGATTCATCTTGTGTTCGGACTACCACACATTTAATTTCTCAGCACTTCAACAAGTCAATATAATCACCCACACATACTGAAGAAATACACCACTGCAGAACACTTACCCTCTCTAATGCCTGTAATCCCAAATCTCATGTTAATAGACAGCACTTCCTTGACTCTTCTCCAGGACCTTTTTCCCCCCTTTTCTTAAGCAGTGCTGGGGGTAGAACCCAAGGCCTTTCATATTCTAGGCAAGAGCTCTACCACTGAGTTACACTCAGTCTTCCAAGACCATTTTCTTTACTCTGGTAACAATGATGGATGGCATGAAGACAAGGATTTCCCATACTTAATCAAACAAGGCAGGAAAGGCAGTACTGTAAATAACATTTCTCATAATAAAACTTTCTGTGTATATGTATAAGGAAATGGAGAAGTAATGTCAATAAAATGGACAATTGTGTGGAAACAAGTTTTACATTTATTAACCTCCATGAATTCAATTAGCTAGTGCTTAGTGTAATACTGTTTATCAGAGAAATGTGGGTTTATTTTAGCATAGTATTCTTTTTTTTTTTTAATATTTATTTTTTTTTAGTTTTCGGCGGACACAACAGCTTTGTTTGTATGTGGTGCTGAGGATCGAACCCAGGCCGCACGCATGCCAGAAGAGCGCGCTACCACTTGAGCCACATCCCCAGCCCAGCATAGTATTCTTAAATATAAGCTCTGACTCTGAATAAACTTACCAGTGGAGATGTGTTCTGTCCACTCTGGTTGTGTCTCATCCTTAGTTCTGTGCACAAATACCAGATGTAATTGACAGTGTAGAGAAATGAGGAAATGTAGAGTATCTAGGTTAAAAATTAAAACAATCCATCATAACTGTCCCTCTCTTCCTTAAATTTATTTCATTCTTTTCCAATATGAGAATCCTACCTGCAGGCTTATTAGTAACATACCATCTAGTATCCATATCATGTAAATCAATCACATCCAGGAATTCTACCCAGGCCTACTTAAAACATGCCCAACTTCTTTATTTTATCCTTTTGATTGTTCAGAAGAACCATAGGATTATCTACCTCTCCTCATCTAACTGTTCCACTTTCCTTTTTTTTTTTTTCAGTATTAAATACTGAAACTAGGGGCCTTATGCATGATAGGCAAACACTCTGCCAATGAGTCACATCCCCAGCCCTATTTTGTATTTTATTTAGAGACAGGGTCTCACTGAGTTGCGTAGCGCCTTGCCTTTGAACTCAGGATTCTCCTGTCTCAGCCTCCCAAGCTGCTGGGATTACAGGTGTGCACCACTGTGCCCATCTCTATTACATTTTTAATTGAAAAAGCAATAAGGATTTCCATTTTTAATAGTTGTAGCTATAAAAGTCCATTTTTCATTACTATAACAACATTTCTAAGGTGGGCTATTTTTGAAGAAAAGAGATTTATTCTGGCTCATAGTTCTGGAGGAAAAGGGTCTAGGGATCACATTTGGTGATGATCCTCATGGTGGCAGAATTCTGGGATGGCTTAGAGCAACATAGCAAGAGATAGGGAACACACATGTCTGCATCTGCGTCACTCTTCCTTTATTTATAAAGCCAATCCATTTCTTAAAGGCCTCATCTCTAAATATCATACTCAAAGCCATGTGCAGTGATACATGTTTGTAATCCCAGAAACATGGGAAGCTGAGGCAAGAGGATTCCAAGTTCAATTGCTTAGTAAAGATCTAAGCAATTCAGCAAGACCCTGTCTCAAAATAAAAAAGGAAAGGATTGGGGATGTGGCTCAGTAGTTACTAGCCCATGGGTCCAATCCCCAGTACCCCTCGTACCCTAAAAAAACCAGAGTATGCTTCTATCCTCTTACTATCTAGACAATATTTTCACTACATTGTGAAGTACTAAAGCCACTGAACTGCTCATTTTAAAATGGTTAATTTTATGTTGTGTGAATTAAAACTAAAAACAATAATTTTTCAAATTTTATGTATCAAAGAATATTATCAAGAAAGTGAAAAGATCCTACTGCATGGGAGAAAGTACAATTTAAAAATCTTATATCTTGATAACAGTCTAGTATTCAGAATATATTTAAAAATATCATAAAACTCAACAACAAAAAAACCCAATTAAAAAATGGATCAACAACCCACAATAAAAAATTAAAAATAAAAAAATAAATAAAAAAATAAAAAATGGATCAAGAACTTGAATAAACTTACAGTCAAACAAGGTATTCAAATGGCCAACAAACACAGGGAAAGATGTTCAACACTCCTAATCATTAGGAAATACAAATCAAATTGAATAATAAACAAACAAATAAATAAATAGTGCTAGAGATATAAAGTGTCCCTGGATTCAATCCTCCATACCAAAAACAAACAAACAAAAAGGAAATGAAATAAACATACACACAAGGAGATACAATGAGCACTGGAGAGGATGTGGAGAAGGAGGGATCTTAGTACATTGCTGGTGGGAATGTAAAATATTAGCTGAACTGCTGTTGGTCCTTCCTCAAATAGCTTAACATAGAATCACCATATGATCCAGTCATTCCATTTTGAAATGATGGAAAGGAACTGAAAAAAAAAGTTGGGCATAGTGGCACATGCCAGTAATCCCAGTAACTCAGGAGGATGAGACAGGAAGATCACAAATTTGAGGTCAGCCTCAGCAACATAGTAAAGCCCTAGTAACTTAGCAAGATTCGCTCTCAAAAATAAAAAGGGCTAGAGATATAGCTCAGTGGTAAAGCACCCCTGGATTAAATACCCAGTGCCAAAAATAAGATTTTTTTGGGGAAAACAAACAGGTATACATATATATATGTTCATAGCAGCAATGTGCACAATGACAAAAAGGTAGAAACAGATTAAATATCAATCAATGGATGGATCGGATGAATAAGTAAATAAACTGGTATACATATATGATGGAAATGTACATGTTAAAATGAAGAAAAACTTTTAAAGCATTATACTAAGTCAAAGAATCCAGACACAAAAAGTCATGCCTATTCCAAGTCAATATTATTCCACTTATATATTAAATTTTCAGAAGAGGTAAATCCATAGGGACAAAAGGCAAATTTATAGTTGCCAGGGTTGGGGGGAGATGGGAGTAAGGAGCAACTGCAAATTGATAAGTCAGTCAGAGTCTCTCTCTCTGAGTCAGTCAGTGTGTCTGTCTCTGTCCCTCTCTGTCTCTCTCTCTCTACTAGGAATTGTACCTAGGGGCACTTTACCACTTAGCTACATCCTTAACCTTTATAAATTTTTATTCTGAAACAGGGTGTCAATAAATTGTCCAGGCTGGCCTTGAATTTACAATCTTCTTGACTTAGTCTTCTGAGTAGTTGGGATTATAGGTGCATACTACCAAGCCTTGCAGTATTTCCTTTCTGAATGATGAAATTGTTTTAGAATTAGACAGAAGTGGTAACTGCACAACAATTTAAGGGGGAGACCAATATTAACAGCACCCAATGCAAACAATATACACCTTTAAACCAAATAGATCCTATTAAGGTGTAATAAACAGAAATTATGTGTTCTGTTATTGTCTACAATATAAACAGTAAGTTTGCTAAAGGGTTTACCATTTCTAATGATGGACAACAAAGGAAGAAGTAGTGTAAGATGCGATGTTTATGAGGGAAAAGGAGAGTAGAGATAAAAATTTATACTAAGAGCAAAGGAGGAATTAATAGAGGTTGGCTATTAGTATGAAAGAAGTGAGAAACAGAATCCAGGGAGACAGGTAAGAGAAAAATATACAGAGATTTTTTTAAAAAGTAAAAATATATATAAAAGAAAGTCTTGGTGGAAAATTGAAGGATAGTTTCCATTGGCTTTCGAAAATTTTCTCAGCTTCCCTTCTCTGCCAATAGGTGGGGTTGTCTGAAGTTTGATGGTAGCTCCTATCAAGTGGGTGCCCTTCAACAGATGAATGGATAAAGAAAATGTGGTACATATACACATGGAAAATTACTCAGCCTTAAAGAAAAATGAGCCAGGGATGGTGGCGCATACCTGTAATCCCAGTGGTTTGGGAGGCTGAGGCAGTATGATTATGAGTTCAAAGCCAGCCTCAGCAACTTAGTGAGGCCCTAAGCAACTCAGTGAGATCCTATCTTAAATAAAATACAAAATAGGGCTGGGGATGTGGTTCAGTGGTTGAATGAAATTATGGCATTTGCAGGTGAATGGACAGAACCAGGGAACATCATGCTAAGTGAAATACGCCAATCCCCCCAAAACCAAAGGCCAAATGTTTTCTCTGATCCATAGTGTGTGTGTGTGGTAGGGGGAGTAGGAAAGAATGAAGGAACTTTGGATTGTGCAGAGGGAATGAGGGGAGGAGTGACGCTATGGGGATGGGAAGGACAGTAGAATGAGACAGAAAAAACAAATTAGTTTATGAGGATAATTTCAGTTTAATTCTCCAGTATGAACATATAAATATGAACAGAGATACATAAAATATAGATATTATATACTGTAAAACAAATAATATGCAATGCATCTAGAATTATATTTAACCTAAAATATATGCCATGTTAATATCTTGACCTCTTCCCAACTGTATTCAATATTTTAAAAAATGTCTGTTTTAAATGAAACATTTTAGAGCATAGTCTCATGTATATAACAGCATGTGTTAGATGTAAACGTAACATATTCTATCTGTATGTTAATGTAATTTAAAATTATATGTAAACATAAATTTAAAATTTTAAAAATTTTTAATTTTTTAAAAATAAGAAAAATTTGGGCTGGGGATGTGGCTCAAGCGGTAGCGCACTCGCCTGGCATGTGTGCGGCCCGGGTTCGATCCTCAGTACCACATACCAACAAAGATGTTGTGTCCGCCGAAAACAAAAAAATAAAATAATAAAAAGTTCAAAAAAGAAAAATTTAACTTACATAACTACACCTCGGTCTTTAATAGTCCAGATTGAAAACCACAATGGGAACCTCATAAATCCAATAAAAACAATGAGTTTGATGTCTATTATCACAATGTTACCCTAACATGGGAAGAGGTTAAGGTTCTCAATGACACAAAATTGTATACTAATGAAACTTTCTCACTCCTATTAACAGCTCAGCCACTAATAAAAAATTCATAGGTATAGAATAACATACTGATTTCTTTCTCAATATTACCAATACAAACCATACCTCCAGAGGTTCCTGAAAACAATCTTATCCAACTCAGGTTTAGAAACATACTTTGCCAAAATATATGACACTAGCCAAAAGTTATAGTCTCTTCTGTGTATAGATGAATACTTCTCAGGCATGAGACCCCAGGACAAACAAAATAGCTCCTGGCATCCAGCTATAGACCCTGGGGACCTATGTATATAAACTGTATACATCAAGGCTTGGATTCAAGGACCCACAACTGTAGTACATCTTAGAGGAATAAGATTTAGCTTTTCATGTGGTGACCAGGTATACTCTGGCCACAAGGTAATTATGAGGTAATGATGCTATTGTGGCTGCCCTCCCAGATATCCTCTATTATAATATCTCTCAAATGGCTACCTCAGGAACAATCCCTAACCTGAGATCCTTCCTACAATCATCCCTCACTAGACAAACAGAACAACAAACTAAAAAAAAATCTTATCAATATCTGATCTTAGCAAAATGGACTGGGGAGGACACAGCCATGACAATCCTATTTTTAAAAATGGGCTGGGGTTGTGGCTCAGTGGTAGAATGGTCACCTAGCATATGTGAGGCCCTGGGTTCGATCCTCAGAACCACGTACAAATAAATAAAATAAAGGTATTGTGTCCACCTACAACTGAAATACACACACACACACACACACACACACATATATATATTTAATTCTAATAAGAGAGAATCACAGCCTCTGGGACAGAAGTCCCCTGTGTTTCTCCTTGGCTAGCAAAGCAAAAACTTCATTTTTCCCTTTTTCTCAAAACTGTGTCCTCATCATTGGTTGGCACTGAAGACAAGGACTGAGTTTTCAGTAACAAACTGGCACCGCAGAATAGGATCTGAGAACAGTCCCTACTCCAGCTTTCTTGGTCAGACCTGGTTCTCCAAGCAATCCCACTTCCAAGTTCAGGATGCAAGGTGGCTGGTAAAATTGTTGAGCCAACTGCTGGAGACTTAGAAGAAGGCTAGGTTTGCCTTGAGTCTAATCAGAGGAGCTATTCTTGTGAATAAAGGGAGAGACTAAGGGCTGTCCCAGCAGCTGCCCCTTTTGCTTTGGGGAACTCCCGCCTTCTCTCCCTGAATGGTACTGGTTGCTCCATCTTGGTCTACTTTGAGAAAAAAGAAACTGAATGCACTAAAGTTCTGGAGACAATACTAGTCATGGCTGCACAATATGGATATTTAAAATCACTTTAAATGATTAAGATTAGATACACATAGAGGCCTTTACCTGTAATCCCAGCTACTCAGAAGGCTGAGCCAGGAAAATCGCAAGTTTAAGGCCACTCTGAACATTTAGTGAGATAGTGTTTCAAAATTTTTTTAAAAAGGAGTGAGGTGGGCTAGGGATGTAGCTCAGTGGTAAAGTGCTAGCTTAGCATGTACAAGGCCCTGGGTTCAATTCCTAGTAACTAACAACACATATATACTCATGCACAAAAGGTTAACATCACAAATATTATGTTTTATATATTTTAATCCCAATTTTTTAAAATTTATTTTTTATTTATAGTTGGACGCAATACCTTTATTTCACTTATTTATTTTTACATGGTGCTGAGGATCAAACCCAGGGCCATGTGCATGTGAGGCGAGCACTCTACCGCTGAGCCACAACCCCAGCCCATATTTTATCCCAATTTTTAAAAAAATTTTAAATGCCAAGCTGGTCATGGTGGCACACGCCTGTAATCCCAGCAGCTCAGGAGGCTGAGACAGGAGGATCGCAAGTTCAAAGCCAGTAGCAACTTAGTGAGGTCCTAAGCAACTCAGTAAGAATATGTCTCTAAATAAAATACAAAAAAGGGCTGTGGATGTAGCTCGGTGGTTGAATGAACCTGGGTTCAATCCTTGGTACCAAAATAAATAAATAAAAACCAAATGAACAAAATAAGCTATTGTGTTTAAACCCTCTCTAGTTCATCCTTGCCTCTGATTACAAATAAGAAATCTAAGAGAAATATAAAAAACGTACTTGAGTTTCTAAAAAGTAAAGAAAAACAGGTGGTTTGTGAAAGTCAAACTTAAGTGAAGTACATAGAAGTGAATCTCCCAAATTTTTACACACCCCTCCACCCCATCGGACTGCCTCCCAGTGTAAACCTTAGTCAAGACACCTAAAATTCTAATAAATACTCCCTTAGGATATGAGTCTTTTTTTTTTTTTTTTTTGTTACGGGGTTTAACCCCGAGGAGTTTTTTACCACTGAGCCATACCCCATCCTTTTTTTTTTTTTTTCAGTTGTAGATGCACACAATATCTTTATTTATTTATCTTTATGTGGTGCGGAGGATTAAACCAGTGCCTCATGCTTGAGAGGCAAGTGCTCTACAACTCCAGAGCTACAACCCCAGCCCTCCCCAGCCTTTTTTTTTAAAATGTTTTATTTTTAGATAGGATCTTGCCAAGTTTCTTAGGGGTTCAGTAAGTTGCTGAGGTGCGTTCAAATCTGTGATCCTCCTGTCTCAGCCTCCAAGTCATTAGTATTACAGATGTGTACCACAGTATATGGCAGAAAGAGTTCCTTTTAGGCAGGAATGTATGGAAGGAATCCCACAAGTGAGAGAGTCAGAAAAGAGCATGCCTTAATTTTGTGTGTGAATCCCACACAAGTCTCAAACTAACTATCATGCATGTGTATGACAATACCAAATCAGCAAATTCAAGGCTTACAGAATGAGATACAGTTAAAACACTTCCACATATGGTGATGTGAATTTATATTCTTGATCTAATCAGATTGAATGCCTACAAAACAAAAACACCAGCAATCCCAGAAAGTTATAAAAGGACCCAGAGTATATGTCACACAGTACTCACAGTGTCTAAGATGCAATCCTAAATTACTTGATATACAATGAACAGGAAAGTGCGACCCATTATCATGGGGAAAGACAATCAACAGACTAGAAGTGACCACATATTGGAAATATCAGTAAGTATTTTTAAAAGCAGTTAATACTCCATGAGGTCAAGGAAAACACATTGTAAATAATTTTGAGGGGTGCTGAAAATAGGAATGTTTGCTATCTTGAAATATAGTGATGATTTCATGATGTTATGCACATATCAAAACTGATCAAATTGTACACCTTAAATACATATAATTTGGGGCTGGGGATGTGGCTCAAGCGGTAGCATGCTCGCCTGGCATGCGTGCAGCCCGGGTTCGATCCTCAGCACCACATACAAACAAAGATGTTGTGTCTGCCGAAAACTAAAAAATAAATATTAAAAAATTCTCTCTCTCTACCTCTCTCTTTCTCTCTCTCTCTCACACACGCACTCTCTCTCTTTAAAAAAAAATACATATAATTTATTGTACATGTAGCTCAATACAGTTGTAAAAAAAAAGGTAAGATTAGTCAAATCTACATCAAAAAAAGGTAGTGTTATTATTAATGGTCCAGGATTCTAATACAGGATTTTTAAATAATTTTTTAAAATTACAATATTATTTCTTGTTATGAAAAAATAATATGGCTTTAGTCTTAACTCATGAAATTATTAGCAGAATTGAGCAAAGTATGTCTCTAAGGCATTTTAAACTCATAAAATACAGGTAATATCAATGCATAAACTTCATACCATCAATTACATTTTATAGGTTCAGTGTCCCTTATCTGAAATACCTGGGGATGTTTAGGATTCTGAATTTTTTCAGATTTTAGAATATTTCCACATATATAAGAAGATATGTTATGGATACACACAAATCTAAACATGAAATTTGTTTCATATACACCTCTTATACAAGCTCAAAGGTAATTTTATACAAAAGTTTTACATGTTTGAATGTATCTGCATTTTTACTGCAAACTATTACATGAGGTGAGGTGTGGAATTTTCCACAGTTTCAGATTTTGGTGCATTTCAGATTTCTAAATTAGGGATGCTCAGCCTCCTACGAAATTGAAAGAAATCTCTCCTCTAATAACAAATTCTAGAAGAAATACCCAGCAATGGGTATACACTGCATTTTAACCTCTACTTTTTTCACATTGTGAGTCTCAGAAATTACAAAGGTCATATACTAAGGGTACTATGCAGGTTAATGCATCGATAAAATCCATAGAAGTGGCTGGCGGAAAAGCTCAACAGCACAGTGCTGGCCTAGCATGCATGAGGCCTGGGTTTGATCTCCAGCACTTAAAAAAAAAATCTTGAAAGTTACATATATGACCCATTATATGATTATCTGTAGTATTTTTGAAACCTGATGTGCATTATATTCCCATAATACAAAACCATGCAGTCATTTCAAAAGATGTTGTAGAAAAATATTTCATAACAGCTTAGGCCTATAATCCTAGCAACCTTCACTAAAGTGAAGAGATACATTATGCTCATGGGTTATAAGATGCAATATTATAAAAATGTCAGTTCTGGGGCTGGGGCTATGGCTCAGCAGTAGAGCAGTTGCCTGGGTTTGATTCTTGGCATCATATATAAACTTGCAATCCTCCTGCCTTAGCTTCCCAAGTTATTGGGATTCCAGGCATGTGCCACCATGCCTAGCTTATTTTATATATTTAAAAATATACATTGAGGCCTGGGGTTGTGGCTCAGTGGTAGAGTGCTTCCCTAGCATATGTGAAGCACTGGGTTGCATATAAATAAGTAAATAAAATAAAGGTCCATCAACAATTAATAAAAATATTTAAACAAGTATATATATATACATATTCAGAAAATAATCATAAGGATATATATTTAAAATATTAAAGCATGATTATAGCTGGCTGATTTTTTAATTACCTAATCTACCCTTATGCTTCTAGGAATTGTCCAAAATTTCTATGATAAATAAATAGTTCTTTTTAGACAAAAAAGATAAAAAGGTATTGTTTCAAAGTGTAACAATAAACAAATTGGTCTACATTCCCACGATGGATCACTCTTGCTTTCTTTGCTTCCTACCCTGAGTGTGCCTTGCTTTCAAGGTGCAGTCAGTCTAGTAGTGCTTACCTGTCCAAGTGCTTGCAAGTTATAGCAGATAATGTCCTTATTGGCTATTGAAGTTCCATAGAGAAGTGCCTCAGTAAGCCAGCAAATTCCCAGTAGCAGGTCAGAGAAGCTCAGACAAAAAAGTGGCCTTATCTGTCAAAAGTCATAAAATTCTCATTTCAAGTAATGTAATTATGAGAACAATTAATTATTTTTACATTTTATGCTTCAAGTAGAAAATTGGATGTTAATTTGCCAGGGCATCAGTCATTGGTTGATCAAAGGGAATGAATGGCAAGGAAGACTCTAAATAGGTGTGTATCTTTAATCACAGTATCTCAACCATACTGGACTTGAAGTACTCATGGATGGATTAGCACCGATCTTACTCCTAGGGACACTCCTTTCTCAGATATACAGAATTAAATAAAGAATGGGAGATAAACAAATTCTGTGGTGAGACACACCACAAATGAACAACTGAAAAGCTCTAGATGTATAGCCAACATCTTCTAAAATTAGAAAATGAGATCATAGACTAAGTGTTTAGGTGTGCAGTTGAGGACTTTAAAGAAAATAAAAATATGTTCCCTTTCAATTTCTGACCATGTTGATGAAGTTTGTCCCCTTACTTTTTTGTATCCTTTTCCTTTTAGCCTACCCATTCCCATTTATTTTAAAGTAATTTTGATTCATCTATGGGAAAAATTATAAAATATTTATTGAGAGACTAAAGAAAAAACTAAAGTGAAGTTTTTGCATCTTATAACTCATCATGCTCATGAGTTATAAGATGCAATATTGTAAAAATGTCAGTTCTGGGGCTGGGGCTATGGATCAGCAGTAGAGCACTTGCCTGGCATGTGGGAGGCACTGGGTTCGATTCTTGGCACCATATATGAATAAATAAAGATCTATCAACAACTAATAAAAATATTTTTTAAAAAATGACAGGGCATCAGTATTTTAAAAAAATGTGAGTTCTCCCTAAATTGATCTATGGATTAAATGCAATCACAATTAAATCTAAACTGATTTTGCTGTGGAACTTAATAAGCCAACTTAAATCTGATGCAGAAATATGAAATATCAAGATAACCAAGAAACTCTCAAAGAAAAAGGAGAAGTAAAACTTACTCCCATCACAACTTAAGATTTCATATATAACTAGAGTGCAGATACTGTGTATTAGCATAGGAATGGAAAAATTGACAAATAAGAAGAGAAATGTCAGCTCAAAACAAACCCAAGTATATATACATATGAATCTTAGATATATTATAAAAGTGGCTTTTTTATTTTTAAAAATATCTATTTTTTAGTTGTAGTTGAACACAATTTCTTTTTTTATTTATCTTTATGTGGTGCTGAGGATGGAACCCCACGGCCTCGCACATGCTAGGTGAGTGCTCTACTGCTGAGCCACAACCCCAGCGCCAAAAAAGTGGCTTTTTCAATCAGTGGAGAAAACAGTAGTCTTTTTAAAACATGATGCTAGAACAATTAGGTATCCACAAGGGAAGTAAATGATATTGGACCCCTATTTTTTTTTTTTTTTTTGGTACCAGGGATTGAACTCAGGGGCACTCAAGCACTGAGCCACATCCCCAGCCCTATTTTGTATTTTATTTAAAGACAAGATCTCACTGAGTTGTTTAGCGCCTCGCTTTTGCTGAGGCTGGCTTTGAACTGGCGATCCTCCTGCCTCACCCTCCCCAGCCGGCAGGATGTGCCACCATGCCCTGCTTGGACCCCTACTTTATACCTCCCCTACTATACTCAAAAAATCAGTTTCAGATAGTACAAAGACCTATATGTGAAAGGCAAAAAAAAAAAAGGATGAAGTTATTTTTTAAATAATATACAAGAATGCCTTCAACCTCTGATTAGTGAAATTTTCCTAAACAAAACACAAAAGGCTCTAAAAGAGAATTTAAAAATTCAGGAGGAGGGCCTGGTTTGTCAGCTCAAGGGCCTGCAATTGACTGCTTGGATGGCACAGTGTTTCTATGGTAGAATGCTTGCCTCGCACGTGTGTGAGGCACTGGGGGATCCTCAGCACCACATAAAAATAAATAAACAAAATAAAGGTATTGTATCCATCTACAACTAAAAAAAATTAAAAAAACAAAGGTATTGTGTCCACCCACTCTCTCTCTCTCTCTCTCTCTCTCTCTCTCTCTCTCTCTATATATATATATATATATATATATATAAATAAATAAATTAATTCAGGTGAATCCCAGAGGAAGATGGCAGAAGCAAGGTAGGCAACAGTCCTGATCTCCTCAAAACACAGAAAGGAGGCAGTGGAGGAAAGGCAGAATTGAGAGATGGGTGACAAAATAAATGCTCTAAGACTCAATATTGGAGACCTGGAGAGACTGGAAGATAGGGTACCAGAGCAGAAAACAAACAGTGCCCTAACCACCTCCCAACCCTAAAATGGTGGATGAGAAGCAGGATAGGGGCATCAGAGAGAGAAAAGAGGGGAAGAGACACTCTCTTAAGCTTACCCATTTAAAAATGGTTGAAAAGACACACAAAACTAAAAGCACAACTGTATCAGAAGGCTCCTTAAAACAGCACAAACATGCACGCCTATAATCCCAGGAGCTCAGGAGGCTAAGGCAGGAGTATCCCAAGTTCAAATCCACCCTCAGCAAAACTGAGGCACTAAGCAACTCAGTGAAACCCTGTCTTTAAATAAAATACAAAATAGGGCTGGGGATGTAGTTCACTGGCCGAATGAATGCCCCTGAATTCAGGCCCTGGTATTCTCGCTCCACCCACCCCCCACTCAACCCCCTACACACAAAAAAACCAGCACAAACAGCTTAAAACCAAATTGTGAAAAGAAAGCTGGGGGTCTGTAGCCATCCTGTGGAGCCATTAGCCAACTAGTCACTCTCTTAAATTAGCACACTATTTTCTCATGCCTGACAGCTGCAAACTAAACCAGAGGGAAGTCCCCTGCAGTAGGACCTTTTAAATACCTGGCCAACAAGAACTTCTAGAAGAACCACTACTAACTCTAAATTGCTGAAATCGCCCTCCCCATTCCTCCAATGCAGACAAGGGGAACAGAGCAGGCTGGAGGGGACCTGGCTCAAGGAAGTGTGCATCTAGCCCTGCTCAGTCTCTGTGACCCAGGCAAGGGCAAAAAGCTCTGCAGAGCCTCCTGTTGCTTGCTCAACTCAGATAGAGGCAACAAAGCTTTGGCCCCTAACAAAGGAAGGCAGATTCACCAGGCTCCCAACCACTGACACTGGGGGAAGGCACCATAGGAAGTCCAAGGATAGTCCCCAGGATCTGGATTGCAGGGCCAGGATCACAGGGCCTATCAGAAGGACAGTTGTCTGAATATACAGTGGCACAGAGACCCAACAGAAAGAGGCTGATATCAGCTTTAACAGGTACACCGCCTGAACTGTGATCACAACTGGCAAGTGACCAGAATTATTTGAATATTCAAGGATCTTTGCATTGTACTAAGCAAGCAGAGGGAATCAACACACAACATTCACAACCTGGGCAGTAGAAACTATAGTCCAGGTGAACCACTGAAGACTCTAAGTTATGGTATTTCAGAGAGCAGCATTGGCTGGGGGAATACTTCTGCACCACAGATCATGGGCGGAAGATCCACAGCCAGAGTTCCTGCACCCACATACAGGAACCAAGACCTTCACTACCATGAAAACCATCCAATAGAGGGGAATGGGTGCACAGTGACATACAGCAACCACAGGGACAAGCCAGAGTCTACATCCTGAAATACAAACACAGTAGAAACACTGTGCCATCCAAGCAGTCAGCTGAAGGCCCTTGAGCTGACAAACCAGAAACTGATGGAAGGACATTCATAACAAGTAGGAAATTGGTCCCCATCCCCCTGCAACTCAGGAGAGAATCACAGCCAAAAACTGATGGACATCTTTTAAATGTCCAACCACCAATGAAATCCAAATTCAACAAGAATTTTCTTCACCTAGATATTATATACTATAAACAACTCTAAAGTCAACTTTGATCATATAAATAATTCCTTAATTTGAATAATTGTTAACCCAATAGCCAATATTGTACCTACAACCCATTTGAATGTATTTAATCTAGTGGTTTAAAGCATTAATTGGAATCAATCTTCCTATCTTTGTTTTCCCAGCACTAGTTTATACCTGCTTCTCTACAACCTCAATTAATATCCATCCCTCTCTCTCTCTCCTTTCTATCTTGGTGTAAACTACCCTTTTACAGCTTCTTCCTCTCCTTTTTCCGATTCTATTTGCCCAATCTTATTTCTCCCTCCTTTGAGCCTTCACTTAAAGGTATAATAAGTTACTAAATTTAATAACTAATTTTTTGACCTGTTCCAGAACTTTATTATAGGTTAAATGAATACCAGAAATAGCAGAGATCAACTGCAACAAGTTTTTGTTCCTATAAGGCTAAACAGAATGAAGTCTGGCTCAGAAGTGACTATAGTAAATAGGGCTCGGGCTGATATTGGGATCAGCAGAGGTCACATGTTGAATTAAAATTTCATTATGTGGATTTTCACATGACACAGAGCTCTTAAGAAAAAGAGGCTCACAAAGTAGTCCTTCACTTAAAAGAAGTCAAAACCATACTGATAGGTAGACATATAAACAGTAAGATAAAACAAGAGAATAAACCATCCCAAACAACCCAAAATGTTTCAACAGAATTCACTGACACTACAGTGGAGGAAATTTCAGAGAAGGAATTTAGAAAGTTCATAATTAAACAGTTCTATGAGGTAAAAGACAATGTAAGGAGTGAAATCAGAGAGAAAATACAGAAAGTGAAAGGTTACTTCAATAAAGATATAGAGATTCTGAAAAGAATCAAACAGAAATCCTTGAAATGAAGGAATCAATAAACCAAATTAAAAATTCAATGGATGGGCTGGGGTTGTGGCTCAGCAGTACAGCATTTGCCTAGTGCATCCGAGGCCATGGGTTCTATCCTCAGCACAACATACAAATAAATAAAATGAAAATATTGTGTCCAACTACAACTAAAAAATAAATATTAAAAAAAATTCAATGGAAATCATCACTAATAGACTAGATTTGTTTGAAGACAGATTTTCAGGCCTCCAAGACAAAGTATACAATCTTGAAAAT